AGTGACGTAGTAGTCAAACCATGAAAATTTAACTAGATGGTTTATCCATTTTTCTTAAGTATAGTGCTCCGCGCGGGAGCTCCGCTACAGGGCCGTATCCAGAGCTTTTACAGGGAGGGTGCACATCGAATAAAATCGGACCATTGATCGTTTCTTTTAAGAAAGCAKAACCAAAAAGGTAACCGAAAGAAAGCAGAACCAAAAAAAGAAAAAAGAAAAAAAAAGGAAATCATTAAAGGTAACCGGAAGAAAGCAAAACCAAAAAAATAATAAATAATAAAATAATAAAATAATAAAATAATAAAATTGATAAAATAAATAAATAAATAAATAAAATTGGAGATATATGAGCGGACCTAAAGCTTTTACGGGGGGTGCACGTGCACTTTGTGCTCCCCCTAGTTACGGCCCTATAGAAAGGCCATCTAAGATATTCGACAGTCTGCATTTGTAGTGCTGTGGATGGTTATTTTCAATGCAAAACTCGAAGATTACAAGATACTTACAATCAAAGTCTGTCGAAAAAACGTCGGTAGTTCCTTCAGTTTAAATTCAGCTGCTATCARTGGAAGCGGACGGTGCGCACTTTACCCCCTCTCTCAATCAGTGCTCTGTTGTTAAGAGTATATATACACATTCAAAGCTGAAGCACACAAATATCATGAGAGAAGTTGAAACAGACGTGGAGATCCTGAGGCCRCGCACTAACCAACTGAACTACGCCTGCTCCAAGGAAAATGTTCAAAAACCACTTCTTCCAGCATTTATACACARCCAAAAGGATTTGGTGAAATTGTTTCAGTCGTATCTTGAAATCGAAAGCATCTTATAAGAGAAAAACATTTTTAGAAAAGGTTTTGGATATTACGTAATTCAGCAAACGTTCTTTAAAGGGAAGTGCGATTTTTTTTGCCAACCAATRACAGTCCCATGATTATGTCATGTAAATGGCCTATTTGAGTTGCATCTAGTGATAAAATTCGTGGAATATTCATAAATCGTTGCACTGACAGGAAGCATGAGGGCTAAAACGAATTCGTAGGAGGATAATTGTCACTTTCCAGAATTACTTTCAATCTCCGCTTCTATGATCGATGTACGTTTTGAATCCGAGGCATTGTTATATGTGGCGACATATACAAAAGTACAGTATACATGGAATTGTAAAAGAGTAACAATCCAATATATATGCATCCTATATCTCAGAAACATGGAACATTTTTTTAAAAAAACATGAAAAAAAGTTGGAACTATAGTTTCTTTTATTAGAAATCGCAACCCCTCTGCTGTCTTTAGTAATAAAAAAATATGATATAACCATGTATATATATTTAATTGTGTACGGTGTGTTTCGAAATATTGTAAATAAGGAAGTCGACATTATTCATCAATCGTAAACRATATCGTCAATTTTTCCTTAATAAACATGTAAAAACCAGAAAAYCTGGTGAAGATACCGATAGTAACTTTAATTCAAAATCAATAATCTTCCTCTAGATTCATTATTAGAGCTTTAAAATTCCAATTTTTTCTCTATATTTTCCGATTTTCCTTGAAGTGCAAGTTTAAGTGCGCCGAAAACAGAGTTTATTTCTTTGCAATTTGTCGCACCGTTTCGTTCGGTTTCACTGATGCTTGCCATGCACTTGGTATCAGATTTCTCATTATAACGCATGAATACACCAATGTTTCTTTTTATTAAAAARTAAATGCCAAATTAGCCTTTTAAAATAAAATAAAATAGTCGTGTTTGAAGAAAAGAATATGGGCAAATTTTCCCAGTTTGCCAAAAGATTCAAAAAAAGTTCAAAAGTTCAAAGCTAAAAATTTATCGCTTTTACAATTAACTATTAAAATCATGATATAGGGGTACATTGTATTAAAAAAAAGCAATTTGCCTGTCATTTAGTAAAAAGGAAACCGATCAATAGCCTTCCCACATGATCATCCTATTGTTTTGATAATATATGATTATAAAAACTGGTTTGCTCGGTCCGTACCGTGATTTATGGATCCTCGTTTTCCCACTTCTTTCTTGGCTCGCGCCCTTTGCGCTTAAAGGTTTGCGTTCCCAGTAAACGTTGTAAATTTCAATCCCGGTCGTCATGTGCGCTCTGCAAAGAACAGTTTAAAATGCTAGCTCCAATTGTCGAGATTACTTCGACTTTGCACAAAGAATAGTGAAAATCAAACTTAAAATAATAATAAACTTAGCAGCAGGGCATCGAAAAAAAAATCAACACAACAACAGAAAACAACAACGACAACAACAAACAACCATATCAAACATTGAGTGTCTTATTTCACTGTGTCTCTTGTCTACGAGGCAGACCCACGAGTTAGCATCGTCCCCGTATCCTTCCTCGATTTTCCAAAGTTTTTCATTTTTTTTTTTACTTGTCTTTTTTTTTATCTTCTTTCTTTTGCTCTTCAAAAATGTTCATGTCGAATTCGTTATGAAATGACGGCCTTTTTGTTTGCCACTTTTCCGCACAATCCAAATATGGAATTGATCATACCATATATGGAGTGAGCTTTCTCTACTCCAACTTCGACATTAAAATATAGAGTAAAGCTTGATATGCAACAAAAACATACCATATTTTTAAAAACAAAGCAGATATACATATGAAAAAAAAAAGCAAAACGAACGGGAATAGATTCAGAACAATAAAGTAACAAAAACAAAAAACAAAAACAATTAAAAATAAGTAACASACAGAAAGAAAAGAAATTAAAACATTAACAAAGACAACAAGAATATTGGTCCATTACATTTATTTGATTGTACAACGGCATTTTTTTATTTACCTCAATAATATTTTATCTTACAATAATTTTAGACTTGAATAGAGTTTCGCTAGCTGTGATTGGTTGAGCGACCAGTGATTCTGAGACAATAATCACTGCTCGAGCGGTGATTAYGAGGTTTCYCARASTTTGCCAGATCAAGAGCAATACTAAAACGTCGACCCCAACTGAATTTCGAGTTTTATCTGATATTCAAGTCTAAAACTATGCTAAAATAATTATCCATCTTAGGTTCAATAAATATCGGGAAATAYCTACCTCGCCGCTACAATTAAGACTTTCGGCTCAGTAAATATTCCCCGCGCGATGTTCACTTCGCCTTCGGCAAATTATTGTTAAGTACGATGCACACATGCCTGGACTTTGTAAACTAATGTAAATATTATTAAAAAGAGCATGCCTGTCGCCGATCSCGGCTTTGATTAAATGACCACCTAGTCTCCTCGCGTCCGTCATTAGTTTAGGTCCCACTCCTCACGGGCCCTCTCCACTAACGGCTGCTCACTTGACATATGTAAATACCACCCGATTCTCATTGGTCAACCCCATGGAAAGGAATGTAGTGCTTGAGTGAGCAGCAGTTATTGGCCRTCAATCACCAAAGAACTAAAATAAATAAAAAACACTATCTTGAGAGAGATTTAGACTGAATTGAAGACTTAGATCTTCTAATCATTTAAAAATTTTAAGTCAGTCCAAAATCTCCCTCAAGACAATTGGTTTTTTCATTTCAGTTCCTTCATTGAAATCATATCAGTGTTAGTCGCCCAACCAGACATCAAACTTCGATTGTCGCACTTCAACGATTATGGTAGTAATAAACAACAGTAACTAGCCCAAGGTAGAATAATCTGGGTTAGGATAAATGAATATATTGGCTTATTGCATATATAGAGGCTTAATTTGCACCATCACGTGATGRCAGCCATGACAGGGGGCAGGAACAATTGATTCTGGTCTAATCTGATTTAGCTTAGAAAGGGTTCAGTTTGCCAGGGGGAGAAAACTCTCTTGTTGTTCTTTCTATCATGGCTGCCATCACGTGATGGTGCAAAGCCTCTATAGGTTCGATAGCGATATCAGTGTCGATATCACTTCACAAAAACTGGAAACTGTGAGTTTTGTATGGTATCGACCCTAAATGTGTRATAAACAAATTATTGCATGTTAAGAACCTGATATMTTTTTGYTGATTCGTTTTCCATACCATAYCGCTCACTTGCTCACGGAACCGCTTGCGCTTGTTTCCGATATGATATGGAAACTAGTGAATAAAACAAATAACAAAGGTCTTACCATGTCACAATCTATATTTATTTAATAAATAACAGCTGATAGGTGTGGCTCTTCTTACAATGGATTCCAATTGGAATTTAGAAGTTGATTTTTACGGAGGGAGGAAAGCCAGAAACCCGGAAAACCCTCGAAGCACAGAAGAGAACCAACAAGCAACTCTACCCGCATACGACACCGAGCTCAGCGGGACTCAAACCCGGGTCGTATTTATTGTAAGAGGCGAGTGCTCTCACAGCTACGTCACCCGTGCTTCCCGTTCGCGTGCCATTCGAGGGAAATCCCACTCCTTTTATTAATTTTTTTTTTTTTTTTTTCGTGCATAATATTGCATGATTTGTGCCTCAAAATTTGGCTTAGTGTAGCGAAAAAACCCTCTGTTAAATCATTATATCATTGCTGGTAAGAGCAATAGCTATATACCGTTCCGAGATTGAGGGGTGGAAAATGGGTCAAGATACCATTGCAATGTAATGTGGCACTGTTTAAGGAGTCATATTTTCAAGGTGTCGTCTATTTGGTCTCCTAATACAGCCAACAATGTATTGCGATGCCAACTCGATCCTTTTTTCCWCATCTTTGGTAAGGGTAATGTATAGATTTTGTCAAACTTTTAAGGTTAAAAAACGGTAAATAAATCTAAACTACATTTTTCCCCTTAGTGTATCATTTCACTAATGAATGTATATATTTCTTTATAATCCACGCTCTGGTAGATCATTAATATTTGACATGCAAGTTATCGTTATTGAACAAAAAGTCACCCAATTAGAGCAATGGCTTTTTAGCAATTAGTCCTCGAGCCCGAATTTTCTACTGGGCTGTAATCATGATGTCATATTCTACTTGTTTAGAAGCAAAAAGGGYCGGTTTTGAGAACCACAACATTAAAATTAACTTTATATAGGTACAAAATGTTCYGATATAACGAACACTCTCATTGGTTGAAAGATGACCACGKGACRCTAGSCAAATTTAAATGTATCCACACCGCCGGTCGGGAAACAAGTTGCACGTGACATAAATGGTGAAAATAAATAAGTGCGTGTGATCAGAACATGAAAAACGCTAGTGGCGTGATATTTTCCAACAATCACAAAGAACATAGCGAGAGCAGGTATATATTTTGCTGGAATTTTCTATGCAAATGGAGCTCGAAGCAAAAATTAGAACAGAGATTTYCCAGTGCTTCTACAGAGAAATACAGACTTTCATTGAGAAAAACGACTCGGAAAGTAGAAAAAAATTGCTAAAGATGCTGTTGCTTCTCTCCTCGCTTTTAGTGGTAGCGAAATACAAGACCGTATGTGAGTTGTATTTGTAAAATCATTTGTCAGTTTTCATGCATTTAGTGTTTTGTTTTCCCTCGAGTCTCGATGTTTCCTTCGGGAAAAAGTTGTTGGTATGCTTGTGTTTCATCGGGAATATCTCCAAAACAACCACGTGAGGACCCTTGACCCCAGATTTGAAATCGGCATTAAATTTGGGATTAAGAATTGTGATTCAATTCCTATTCGTCATTCTCAAAAATGAAAAATAAACTTATCCTGCTTTTCCGGCATCATATCGTATTTCCTTCCTTTTTTTTTCTGCTCAAAAGTTCTATTATATAGATAAAGTATTAGTTTTTTTCAGCTTTAAGAGCTGGGGTGCTTACCATTTGAACCAATCCATCCGGTTGGAAATTCATTTGCTATTGGTAAGAAAAGAGAGCGGAAACTTTGAYTTTCGAAAAATGCATGGATAYACGTGTCTACCGAAAAAACCGAAAAGAGCGGGAAAAGTGGATTACCTCAAACGAAAGACCAAGTTTCCGGAACTTTTCTGATTGGAATGAAACATACCATTTGTTTTTCAACCGGAATTTCGGGTTTTTCTGTGTGTAAATGGAAAACATCCCTGATTTCTCAAAATCCGACCCTTAAGAATATTCCTAAGGCTTCAGTTTCTATGGCAGCAATGCATTTAATGAGGTGTTTTTGTGAAGTTCCCTGGATGGCCTTCCGAAAGACGAGATTTCAAAAGTTTTTTTTTTTTTTTTTTTTTTCATTTCCAACTTTGCTTGATGYTTTTTYGRCTTAAAATGTTTCACACGGTAAGAAAATATTCCAAAWAATKTTCAACGACGTATTTTCATTTCAGAAGATTTCAATGAAATTTCTGAGTGAAAACTGTCCCAAGCCATTGCCGTGTAATTGTTCTTAGGTGATTGAAAGTAGTAACCATTCAAATTACTACTATAGCATGTATCGTACCACCAGGCACCGTGCGATGTAACTGCACAGTTGCCACTCCCAGTTGGGTCATTATCACGATCTTTGGTGCTAAAGTAAAGRTTATTGTGCCTCTGTGCAAACGAGTCTCCCGCAGTACCTGAATACGAGGATACTTTTAGTCTGTATTTGTCTGACTCTGCACTGATACTAAAACTACCATATTTGGCATGTTTATGCACTCCTCCCCAGTCCTGCAGATCCACTCTTAGACTCCAGGGTGTTCTTGCTGTCAGGCGATAGATGTAGTCATTACCCAACCAAAACTCACCTTTCAAGTCCCCAAAACCTTTTTTGTATTGCTGCCAGTCACGATAAAAGTCAACAGATCCATCTTGTCTTCTCTGGAACACTGTCCACCCCCCTCCGTCAGTTGTCATGTCACAGTAGACTTGAAAGGGTCTTTGGCTGTCGGGCTTGATTGGGTAGATGCCGCTACGTTTCTCACCTGATTCGTAGATCTCCAAGCAATCTAGAATCAAGAATTATATAATGAATCAACTTCCATTACAAAGATAAAGGTAACTTAAGATAAAAGCAAGATTCTCGAAAATAGCTCTTCAAAATTAAAAAAAACATGAAAGCAAAGCTAATATCGACACATTCGAAGATTATGACCGGAAGAAGATTTTAGAATTATTTTAAAGTTACCACTACCATAGGGCAATATACTGACGACAATCAGATATCATAAGGTACCAACCAATTTATTTTGATTGACGGAAGTGTATTGCCCACTAGCCTTCCCTGTTGCAACTGTTGTCTCGATCAGCGCGTAGCAGTGAAAATAGAGGTAAGACTTTAAAACAAAGCATTTATCGTGCTACCAGATATTAACTTYGTATTTGTTGAACGATGCATAAGAAAGAAATGATAATAAATGTACAAGAAAAGAAAAGCTAATTAAAGGATAGAAGTAGCTTAGTGTAGAGTACAATCACTCTTTTCAAGGTTTAATATCAGAAGGGTTTAACATTTACCAGGAAAAAACGGAAATTCCGGTTCGAAAATATATGGTATAAACCATTACGATCGGAAAGTTCCGAAAAAACTTGGTCTTGATTGAGGTAATCGGCTGCTCAGCTCGATTAGCTTGCTATACTGAGCAGCTATTACCTCGAATCTTGGCTATAAAYATTAATGTTGTAAAGCATAATTTGATATATCTATACATATATATGTTATTATYATTGGTARTAAAGATACTGGTTGTTGTAATCCACTGTTCCCGCTATATTTGGTTCTTGTGGTACACACGTGTACCATTTTTCGAAGGTCAAATTTTCCCTCTCTTTTCTTACAATTAGCGAATGGATTTCTAACCAGATAGATTAATTTAAATGGTAAGCATTCCAGTAGTCAAATATCCGGTTTGTTATTTTTTCCATTAAACAAACATTTAGTAGTATTATTGTTTCTTATTAACCTACACTGGATTCTTTTTTCACTGAGCTTTTCTAGAGGTATGCATATGCCTAGTTACACTTTTTTTTGGCTTTCAAAATTTACACAAGAAAGTCGGAAATTCCTCACCCCATTAAGGTTGAGATAATCAAGAGTTATAATGAGTTGTACAGCATAAATTATTAAATAACAATTTCATTTTTTTTTAACTTTACAAATTGGAGGTAATATTTTCTAAATCAGTTGTTGCCTGTACACATCTTACTACGGTTCTTTATCATTTTGAGGCTATCAAATTTATCCCCATGCAGGTTGCCAAAACATCGATCCAAGAGGTCAAAAATTTAAAGGGATCAAAGTTAATGATGTCACTGTTTATGGATATATATAGCAAGGTAGAGCCTGGTAAGGGACCGTTCATTATTAAACTGGGGGGGCCTGGGTGAGAAAAGGAGGGGCCTCAAAAAGTTTTCATGTACAAAAGTAGAGGCCCTGGAGTTTTTTATGGATTTAAGGGAGGGGACTTGAAATTTCARGTGAAGGTCTAAAGATAGTGAAGGATAATAGTTGTTATTACAAAATCATGGTGAATAGTCTTTTGTCATTAGCATTTTTTATACCAAACAACTGTGTCATTTTATTCACAACTTTCTTCAGTAGCATATTACAAATTTTCAAATCATTATTAATAAACTGACATTCTCAAAAACAAAGAAAATTAACAGAAATGTGGTTTCACTTCTTATTTGCATTGCTTATGTCACTCATCACTACCACCAAATACACCATCTGGGATTTATTTTTCAGTTGAATGATCAAGTATTAACTCTAATAAAGTGACCTAACATAGAACTTAAGAACACCAATTCTACTGCATATTTTTTCGGTTACGCYTGATAATGTAAATATCCAAAAACGAAGAAAGTGCTTGTTGATTAAAGTTTCTCAATCATCTTCATAATCAGAATACATGTAAAATCCAAACTGTTCATTTTCATCATCATYATCATCATCATCATTGTTATCATTTTCACTATTGTTCAGATTTTTATCAACTGAAATCGATCGAAGCTAGCCATTTTAAAGAAATCAGATATTTTAGCAATATTCTGTGCACTTTGTACTTTGTTCTTTGCTTTATCTCTCCTCTTTGTGCTGGTCTCTTCAAGCTGTTTAATCAGCTCCTTAACCTTTTTTGAGCATCCTCCTGAACAAAACCATTTTCAAGTAGATATTTCAAGGGCTGGAGATGGAATCGTGGTCTTAAAACACTTAAATCCAAGTTTGAATTCAAGTTTGAAACTTATTAGTGGCTTATTATTGGTCATATAGATAGAAAAGTTGCTAGGAGGAGGTRTGGATATAACAGACAGTAGACTGAAAGTGTTTCGTCGAACTCTGTTGACTATTTCAGGGAGTTACACAATCTATGCCAAAMTGCGACCTGTATTTATTCGCTAATTTTCCTAAACCACATGTATAGGAAATAGGAATTTAGATTACGCAGGCACACCCAATGGTTAACATAGTTAAGATAT